TTAAGGGGTTAAGGGAGGGGTGCTTGAAGGGTCAGCCTGACCCTGACATTTGGTGTCTCTCTTTCTCATGAGGACGACTGCCCAAGCCTACTCTGTGGGCACAACCTGGCCTCGTGATGGCCCCAGGGGCCACCATCACTCTCTGGTGCTCAAGGCCCAAACTGTCTTCCATTGAAGAGGTGACCTTTACTCTGTGGAAGGCCGGGACCCGGGAGGCTTTACAGCAGCAGACCTCAGCAGGTCTCTGGACTGACTTCTCCCTACCACCTGTGAGACCTGAGGACACTGGGAGCTACAGCTGTACCTACAGGGAACGGACAGTGTCTGCTAGAGAATCAGAGCCCAGTGAGGCCCTGGAGCTGGTGGTGCCAGGTGAGGGGTGTGTGGGCCCCAAAATAACTCTGAGTATGACCCCTGTGCTCTCAACCCAGACACGGGTGTCACAGGGACAAGAGCCTGGTGTCTACACAGCCAGCTCTACCCTGGGGCCTGGCAGAACTCAGGGGTCTTGGAAGAAGTGAGGCATTTCTATTCTGATCTAGAATCTGGGAAGAAAGGTGATGGTGGGGACTGTGTTGAGAGTCAGGAGAAGAGTCACAGAGACCCAGAGCTGAAAGAGGCCTTGGAGATTCTTGAGGTCAAAGCCTCCCATTACCAATGAGCAAACTGAGGCCCAGAGGGAGGGAATGACATGGCCAGGGTCACACATCAAGTAAGTGACTGAATCTGGTAATGAGTCCTGCCATTTCTCATGATCTGAGCCCTGGTTTTAGTCTGAGCCCTGGGCCTGTCTGTGACAGCCCAGATGAAAAGTGAGGGGTCATGACCTTCTCACCCAAGAGTCATCAGAGGCCCAAGACCAAAGGTTGGATGGGCTTCCTCAAATGTGAAAGTCTCTTTAGATTCCTGAATTGCTAGAGCTCGAACGTGCTGAGAAATCTTCTATTCCAACTCCCTCATTTACAGAGGAAATGACAGAGGCTCAGATGGAGCCAGTGACTGGTCCAAGGTCACACAGTAATGCAGAGGCAGAGCACACTTTGACCAAGGCGTCCTCCTTCCCAGCCCATGTTCTTCCTCTCACAGGCTCTCTGCCCAAGCCTTCCCTTTCAGCCCTCCCAGGCCTTGTGGTGGAGCCCGGGATGCATGTTACACTTCAGTGCCGGCAGCCCCATCGGTCATCCCTCTGGAGGGTGACATTCACTCTACTGAAGTTGGGGACCCCTCAGCCCGTGCAGAGCCAGAGCCCAGCTGGGACCTTGGCTGACTTTCCCCTCCTCTCTGTGAGGGCCCAGGATGCTGGCAACTACAGCTGTGTCTACTATACGAGGATGGTTCCATACCAGGTTTCTCAGCCCAGCGAGGTCCTAGAGTTGTGGGTGACAGGTGAGGGTGTGTCCAGGTTCCCAGGGAATAAAGTAGAAGATTGGAAGTCAGGATTAAGAGGGAGCCCAGGAAGTCTGAAATGGCATATTGGTGGGAGGGGGCTCTTTTGAGCATCATGAGGTAGAGGTTGGGACAGGGGCTGCTGGTACCTATGGAAGGGAAAAGAAAAAGGGGAAGAATGGGCCATCTTGGGTACTGTTCCAGGTTCTAGAGACAATGATGGAAAGAGAACATCTGAGGCTTAGCATCCACCCCTGCCCAAGAAGGTAGTTTGGGGCAAGGAATGACCAAAGAGCCAATGGAAGCAGGTGCTGATGGTCAGGGAGTTCTTCAGGAAACTCCGGGCTCTTGCTTCTCCTTATCCCCATTCCTCACGTGGAAAGGACCTTAAGATTCTCTGGCATCTATTTGTGTTTCCAGATGCACTTCCCAAGCCTTCCCTCTCAGCCTGGCCTGGCCCAGAGGTGGCCTCAGGGGCCAGTGTGACCCTCCGGTGCTGGGGGCCCTTAAGAGGTTCTAGGTTTGCTCTCTACAAGGAAGGAGATGACAAAACCCTGCCAGGCACAGATCCCACTCAAGATGGAGCCCTGTTCATCCTGACTCATGTGACCCTCAAGGACTCTGGCAATTACAGCTGCAGATACCAACTCAACACCAATGGAAGCTTCTGGACACAACATAGTGACCCCCTGCAGCTTATAGTGAGAGGTGAGAGGTGAGAGGCAGAACTCCACAGGACCCACTGGAGAATGCCAACAACCACTCCTCCTCTTCGGTCCTGCAAGGAATTGAAACCAAGGCCTTGGCTCTGGCCAAGAGACCCAGTATAAGAGACAACAGACATATTGACTCTTTCCTCAATTCCAGGACTTTAGAGAGTAAGGGTGTGGGCTGGGTCATGAGACTTCCCTCCTCTCATGCTCCCTGGTGACCCACACATGTCTATCCTGGTTTCTGGCTTTCTCACCCTAATTCCAAGAGATAAGCCCTCTCTGAGAAGCGTTTGTGTTTAACTGTTCGAGGGTGGTAGTGTAGACAAAATTCAGGGACAATTTCAGGGAAGGACAGGGTCCCCTCAGGACAGCGACTTATGAAGATTCTTCTCTCTCCCCCATCGCAGATTCACAGCCCAGTAACACCCTCCTCATTGTCCTCAGCTGTGTTTCCTCCCTCCTCCTCCTCCTCCTCTTCTGCCTTCTCTTGCTGGCACTCCTCTGCCAAGGATCCATCTGTAGGGGTGAGTGTGGCAAAGACAGAATGAAACCCCTCAGGGACTGAACAAATAAAGAAGTGGGTAAGGACTGGGCCCTCCATTTCCTCCTTTGAGATCTTCCTTGACCTTGCTTCTTCCCCTCTCATGTCTCTCTCACCAGGGTCTTTACCAGGAGAGAACCCTAGGAGGTAAGGAGACTTAGTTCTTCTTTTCATAGTCCCCTTTTCCTTCTTTCCCATGTAACCCTGGACAGAATCCATGGTGAAGAGAGGTTGCTCACAGAGGCTCCCAACTCTGTACCTATGTCCTATTTCCTA